CTTTTGTCTTTTCCAAGTTATCATTATATTCATTATGCATCGATAAAGCTTTTTTATTTGAATACAAAAAAGAGCAAATTGGAAAAACGAAAAAAAATTTTGAACTTTTCTGAACCAAGTCAAGTGAACTTTAGCTTTTCATCGTTCTTTCAAAATCGAAACTCACTCAAAAGTCTAATTAAACTGATAGAATTTTGATTAATTTTCTCATTTCAGGAAACGCCAAATCGAAATTTCTATCAATTCTGTCAGCCTAACATGTTTATATAACATTTCATGTCAACGTCTTGACTTGCAAAGTAAAACTCAAGTTTTGATGTTCGGAGTTGAACAAAATTTAATAACTTAATTTTTTCGCATCTGTAATGAGTTAGAAGTCGAGATTACTGTTGTTTTACTGAACATTTTTCATGTCATGTTGGTGCAACAGATATTCCTTTTTCTTTCCTTTTCTTAGACTGAATAACCTGTGAATGATTTGTAAAAATAATGAGCAATATTGTGGAATATTATTCTTGGGATTCTCAAGTTTCAATATTGTTTCAATGTGCAAATCTTTTTTCTTTTCGAATCAACATTTCAAATCTGGTTTCATGGAGGGTAAAGAGAAGAACAAAGAAATGCTGGCCGAAATGACAAACATTTATCAATTAGAATGAGTTTTGTTCATCTTGAAATCAATATCCTTGTATAAGCTTTGCAATCAAATATGTGGTTAGAATGGATGATCCTGGATTCGAGTCTTTTTTTCCAGTTAAGTGTTCACATTATGATAAATTGTTGAACATTTCATGGGAAAGATTTACAACTGAAACTGCTTTTCTCCATGTTTTCCATCCATCCAAGATTAACCCAGTAACATGAGTTGAGGATAATGATTTTTATTGATTAAAATTGAACCAGTGTAAAGATACAATAGCAATAAAGAATCAAAGGATAGAAGAACGTGAAAATTCTTTCTTGATCATTGGATTCTTTTACAGAACAGCAGATTTTTTACTTCTTTTTGTGTCAATCAACAGTTTTTACTTTTGTGCCGAGCAATCATCACATCATCAATGACGAGTTTCAGGCAAAATTACTAATAATAATCATCTATGGGTTTGCAATTTAAAACGATTTTCTCTTCCTCTGAACATGATTCGAGTTATTACATTGTGCTAACCGAATTGAGCTTTATTGAAATCCACAAAATTATAGCATTACTTAGGCTGTCAGGAAAATGGCTATTCATTCTGACCAGTCTTATGTGTTAAAGGGATATTTATTGATACAGAGAGTAGATGTGTTGATCTCTCTGGTATTCAACCATATAATAACATAGCACATAAATAACATGGTTTGTCAGAGAATGGGTTTTGTTAGAGTTGCTATTCTTGAAATATCAAGCTTAACACTTTTCAGTTCAAGCAAACTATCGATGAGTCAGTCAGAATTTGGGTCCTTCATGTTTCTCAACCATTTTTGTTTTGAAGAACAAGTTTCAACTCTTTAGGTATTGCCATCGCTTGCAACGGGAACGATGTGGTCTGCTGTTCAGCAAGAATGAAAAAACTTTTGGTTGAAAAACCTTTTCGCAAAATCTTAATAACTGAATTTATTAATACCGTATTAAGCCTATTAATTTATGGACATTTGCTTGAAGAAGTTGAAGGGAAGATTCATTCTTCATTTAGACTTCTTCAAACTGTTCCATGAATTATTTAAATTCTATGTGACAATTGCTAGAGTAATGCAATTAACGATCCTTGATGCGATTTTAAAGCTTGTAGTGAAAGTAAGTTGATCAGATTACCTTAGACATTCAAAATACATGGTAAAATATTCGATCGGGAAACATTTCTTTCGCTATTCAAACAGAGATTTAAAATGATTCCGTGATCAATGCTAACCAATGTAATAAAACTTTTGACCACTAATTGAATGATTTGCCAAATGAAACTAAATGTTATTTTAGTTAGCAGGATAACCAGTCATTTTTACACTAATTTGTAGAGTTAATTAAACGTTAAGAAGTACTTCCTCTGATTTCACTCAATTATAGTTATGCTCTTATAACTTCTTTCAAATAATAATAACATCCCTTTACTCTTGTTATTGGATATAATTGAATGATTGATTGAAAAACAATGTTGATTAATCTACCAGTTATTGACTGTAATTGCTTCGTTATATTGTGTTAATATAATATCCGTATCAATATCCTTAAATATCTATACATAAAAGCAAATATAAATCTAATAGAATCGTCCCTAAACCAAGGTAAAACGCATCGATCATTGACTTTAGTTACTCGGATAAATCAACCTTAGCATAAGATTCTAAGATTAGTAAGATTAGTCGCCTATGTGACGACGCTAAAGTTTTATTGCACATAAATACGATGACCAACTAAACAAAAGTAAAATGAATCGTCATTACTCTTGTGTCTACAAATAGTGTTTATTTAATTCTGTTAAAGTAGACATAAGTATTGCAAATGTTCGAAAATTGTACAAACATTAAAGTAGATCTAAGTTGCTCGATTCCTTTTCTTAATTGCAATTCGTTGCAATTTAATAAAAAGAATCTCAAATATACTTGTTTCACATGATGAATTTTTTGATCAATGCATATTCAATCTCTGCAAACAGTTTATGAATAGATACTAGCATGAGATTCTAAGGTTAGTCGCCTATCTGACGACGCTAAAGTCGTATTCCAGATAACTATGGTGATCAACTAACCTGCTAAATGATGAGTCTTCTTGCACTTGTATAAAGCATACATAAAGTAGCTATTTCATTCTGTTGAAGCAGATCTAACAAGATCTAACTTGTAAGAAGCAATGCAAAGGCAAAATTTGTGCAAACGTTAAAGTATTAATAGATTTACGTTGCTTGCTTGTAAACAACACAAATACATTAATCAACTTAATCAATATTTTGATCTCGGATCAGGTTAGGCAACACGCCGAATTTATGCTCATATGCATAAATTCAGCGGAGGAAAAGAAATCAAATGAGTCACGGCGAGGGAAAAGGGATAAATCTGTCACGAGCATCATCAAAACTATTGAGAGTTCTGTGCAAGGCTTTCAAATAAATCGAGACTTGCTAAGAGTACCGATTATGCTGTAGCTTCATTAGAGATTTATTGTTCTTTCAAGTCATTCGAACTATCAAGTAACAACAAAGATTAGACAATGGTTTTTATTTGGTGCAAGTCGAGTAATTCGTCCAAATTAAAAGTGATTAAAGTTCGAAGATCCAACCGTCCAGTTGAATCACGATTTGTTTATGATTAACGCAGTTATATGAATCAAGAAACAAATTCGAACATTAATGTTTCTAAAAAACACTTTATTTTAAATTTTACATCATTCCATTAATTTTGAACCTTTTGTCAAAAGATGAATAAATTAACAAAAGTTTCCAAAAGCATACAACTTAATACAATGAAATATAATGTTACAAAGCAATGATTACATTTAATAAAAATTTTAATCAGCATCTGAAGTGAACTAGAACTTATGAGTTTATCCAAATTTTGATGATCCAATGAATAATATTGGCAATAATGATGAGCATAAATGTAATGAGAATATAATCAAATTGTTAACAAAAGTAATTATTATTGCTACTTTTTCGATTATCTTTATTTACCATTCACCGGAATGATAATAGATTCTGCCTTTGGGCAGGACAGAACAATAAAACATGCAAAGGTTAATCAACATTGTCCTTTTGTTATTGATTTTCATCTTTCATGCACATTATTTCATGCACATTATGCTAACATCCAGAACCAAGTGAAGAGCTTTTCTCGATGATAAAATACTTTTGTCAACTCTGTTTACATAAACATGATAACTGTTAATATGAAACAGAATTGCAACTTTTTCCTTCGTTTTCCATGTTATTTCGCTGATTCTTTCCATCCTGCTTTTTTCGCCATAAAATCAATCATTTCCATTGTTATCCTGTCCTACTTTTTCCCTGTATCTCAACCCTTCAGAATATCATTTGTTTCAAGTCGCTTCTTCTCGCCTCCAACATTTTTTCAACTCATCCCTCATGTTCAGGGAAATACATTCTGATAATCTTTTTCATTCCAAATGTTAGCAAACACAAAAAATGTGATTTCCGTGTTTTCAGCTTCCTTTTTATTCGAAGACCAGGGAAAAAAATGTTTCAAAATAATTCTGTTTCATTTAGAGGTTCAATTATTTTTTTCTTGGTTTGTTATTTTTCCTTTGAAATTCCGTTTCGAAACTCAATTTTTTTAACAATGTTTTAGATTCAGTTCTTTTTGCAACATCATGCTAAATCCACTTTTAACAAGATCTAATGAAAATATTTACTCTTATTGACAATGGTTCTGAAAGTATTGTAAATCCTCTTTTCAGGGTCAAAATTGTTCTCAGAGTTTTTCTTCACAATTCGAGTTTTGTTTCATTAGTAACATCTTGAGGCAAGAATTTTGGATTGAACTGAATTGGTAGCGTTTAGCATAACAATTGCTCAGCAGAATATCTATTCGATGGAATAATCTCTCAAGAGTTATGAAAAGTCCAATTTTAAAGAAAAGTTTGGATATTTTTAAATTTCCATCTAAACTTGACTAACATTAACATCAACATCAACATCTTTGGTAAACACAACAGATTCAACCATTTAGCTTCACCAAACCATTTTCAAGATTTACTTGAAATTTGTATTCCTCTTTGCCCGAGATACTTGATGTCTGAAAAAGCCATTGATTAATGGAAATGGTGACAAATTTATAAATAACATTCATCAAATGTCAAATGTTAATGTCATCTAGAAGGTTTGTTGACAAGTTTAACCGTAATTTCACTGTAATCCATGTTAATCCAGTCTAGATCGATGGATTTGGGAAAAGGATTTTTGTTGACATTAAACGAATTGATCAAGTTGTTATGATAATTTGAGAATGAAAATTTTGCTCATTGTTCCAATGATTACATTCGACTTTTTTATTGTACTTTTTATATTCAGATACATGGCTGTTGTTCATCCATTTAAACCTCGAATGAATCGTACAACTTCACTCATTGTTGTCCTGTTAATCTGGCTTCTGGCCGGAGTCCTTGCAATACCAACAGTTTTGTACTCAACCACATACGAATTAAGCTATCAAGACGGATCCAGGGTTCTTTGCTGGTTAAACTGGCCTGATGGAGTTCAAAACATGTCTTCATATGATCATATGTAAGTCAACTTATATTCATTAGTTTCATTGTTTTTCATCTTTTCAAACACAGATCAGTGAATTGAAAAGTGTCAATGTTGAAAAAGGTTGAATTACGAGAATAAATTAACATTGAAAACTTCAATTAAACCTTGTTCAATGCTTTTCCCATCGATGGACTTGTTTTGGGAATCAATTTTGACCCTTTCATTATTAGAGATTAAACAAGTTGCTATTTACTCAATTCTTGGCCAACCTTCATCTTTGATATTAATGAGAATCTCGATATTGATGTGGGAATTTCTGTTCACTGTCCATGTAATCAATGTATATATTCATGTTTATATTGATTGTTAACATTTTATCTCTTGTTCCATTCAACGGTTTATCCTTTAGAACTGTATTTTTTGTTGTTGTTCCCATTTCCATGTCTATCGAACAAATAAATTAGATTTTGTGTTAAAAATTTAGTTGCAAATGTTTCATTCAATTTCACATTTTAACCTCTTCTTTTTCCAGTTGATCAACTGTTCAATTATTTATATGTAGCTCGGTCGACATGAAATATTTACATTCAACAGGGGAAAAATTGAACAAGAACGTTTCAACACTCAGATTAGCGCCCTTTTCATGGACAAATCCAATTTACTAATCTTTAAGACAAACTTGAAAGGGAAGGAAAACTCCAAAGGAAATGGGAATAACAAGAGTTTTACCAGCAATTATCATGGTAAACATTGAGCTCTCTTTTCAGGATTAAAACTATTCTTAGCTGCCTGAGACGATTACATTCAAATGCTGAGAATATGTTATTGATATAATAAAAAAGATTAAAGGTTGAAGAGTAAATGGAATGGCTTTTGTCTATTGTTTTTTGGGTTGATGTAGATGAAGCACGTAACTTGAACTGTTGGGTGAAATTGAAGATAATAATGAATAATACAGAATTTTGAAAGAAGACAAAAAATAGAAGGAAAAGAAAAGGAAAGAAAAGGAAGCTGGAAAAGTCAGGGAAATGTGAAGAGACAGGGAAAGGTGAAAAGTGAACAAGGAGGAAAATATTGAAATGGAAAGGAAGTGAATTGGAAATGAAAAGGAACCAGAATATACTTTCGATAAGATGATCAGAAAAGGATTCATTTAAGAGCACATTTTTGTGGTCTTCTTTGTGAGTTGAAACAACAATTTTCTTCTTCTTCTTCTTTTTTTTCCATGTCATTCTTTTGTGATAATAGCAGGGAATGATTGAAAAGGCAACGAGAAAAAAAAGGTGAAATCAAGAATTCTATTGAAGAGAAGCCAAGTAAAAATTTATCAGCACATTGGGATACATTTATTATTCCCTTATATGACCAGAATATGATAATAATTCCGATAATGGAGATAAAAGTATTAAATCATAATGAGAAGTGATAATATGGTGAAGTTGCGAAAATCGTATTTTTTTAGTTTCTATTTTTACTCCAACTTTTTTTTTGTTTCCAAGTGAAGTCCATTAGTTTTTTTTTGTTGAACGAAAATCAAAAAGATGTTTTGATTGCTGGCTGGGAGTGAATCTTATCATTGAATAAATATGATTCCACTTGAAATGCTTTTTCACTGAATTTCAGTTGAATGATTATTTCGACGCTTTTAATCTTGAAACTTGTCATACCATTAAGGTTACACATAATTTTCCAATTGATTCACATGAAGGTAAATTTCCAGGTAAAGGTGCCTTTTGGGACTCATTGGGAAACTATCTGAGCATAAATTAATTCACCTGATAAGCGGAAAAAATGCTTCGTTCGACAGAAGAAGAAAAGAAATTCTTTGCTATTCTTTTCTCTATTATTCAAATGTAAATGTAACATGAATGAGAGGCAACAAACAAAAAAAATATTATCCAATTTTGAGAACAATTGTTTCACCCTTGAAAGATTTGGAATCAATTACATTTATATTAAGAGATGGAAAAAGGTTTTTACCTTTAATACCTGATGAATATATTGAAAGTATTACAAAATGTATAAGAAGATGTGATTGCTCAGAATTGTTCACAATAATCAATATACCTTTTTGCTTCTCAATCATATTTTTATCAGTCTCTTCTTATTGGTCTCAAGTGAAATCTCAGTTTTGATCACGTTTACACTTTCATGGGTTGTGAGGGAAACAACCAAAAATTGAATTACGTTTACCATGAAAGGTAAACTGTGGCTAATAAGGTTCCTTGATACATTAACAATCAAGGAAATGAGAAAAGCAATTCAGGCTAATTGCAGCTAATTTAAGCTGTTAGTAAATTGGACAAATTCAAGTGTCTGTTGAGTGATAAAATCGGCAAATAATTTAATTTCCGATTATTTTAATTCAATTTCAAGACGAGCTTTTAACTAACAAATTGATACCCAAACAAACAAATGGCAATGAGAAACAAATTAAGGAAAACCTACGTAATTAACTCAATTGGTTTTCGTACAGAAATTAAAATCTCTAGACGCTTTGCCAGCATTTTTAATGCATCAAAGTCAATCGACGGAATAGACGCTTGAATCTTCACTTTTTGGGTTAATTTTTAATATTTGGGTTAATTCACTGAAAATGTTACTTTACATCAATTTTTAAAATAAGGAAGAGTTATTAAATAAAAACTGAACTCAACTTTCAACCAGCAGTAAAGGACCTTTTATTGAATCTTTAATGTAAAATTTGCTCTTTACTCTTTTGCCTAACTGTTGACTTTTTTGGGTAAATCAAGATTTATAATTGTAAATGATTCTTGAAACTTATCGCATGGGAAAAGATTCAACTTTTAGATTCCATTTTCCTCTGTTTTTCTGTTAACAGTTTTTATTATTTTACTCGAAGTGCTTTTCATGTTTAACTTTTTGGGTAAATCGTCCAAAGTATGGGTTTTAATTTAACCTTTAGCTGGTAAACATTGAAAAACTTTGAACTCTGATGGATTTATCAATGGATCATTTATTGTTTTACTAATGAAATGTTTTCTTTGTGCTTTCTTTTTACAGTTACAATGTTGTCTTTTTCGTAGTTACTTATGCGATTCCAATGTTCACCATGGGCTTGACTTATACTCGAATGTCTTTTGTCCTTTGGGGAAGCAAGCAGATCGGTGAAATGACCAGTCATCAGCTTGAAGCGATACGCTCAAAACAAAAGGTTGTTCCCATGTTAATAATTGTGACAATTATCTTTGGACTTTGCTGGTTGCCCTATCAAATTTACTTTCTGGTTGTCTTTTACATTATCGAGTTGGGTCAGAAGGAGTATGTTCAACACATTTACCTTGCCTTTTACTGGTTAGCAATGTTCAATTCATCACTCAATCCCATCATTTACTGTTTACTCAATAAAAGGTGAATAAAGAAACCATTTTTTGTACCCTTTTCATAAGCCATTGAAACAAACAACCATAAATTCAAATAAAAACACATCAACAGAGAAACCAAAAATTAGGTTCAAATGGGTTCTCTTTAGGTTCAATTTGGTTAATAAAAAATGGATAAAAAAGGTTTTTGTCCTTAAACCTTTGACAGGTTAGCATTTTAACAGCAGCTTTTAAAAATTTATATTAAACATAACATTTATTATTGATATAGCATTAAAATTTGCCAGCATTACTCCAAATTTGGTGGGTTTAGTTGTAATTCTCAGTCGTAATTGTGATTAAATTTTCATTGAAAGCGTTTTCTTAAAATATTTAGATTATACTCTTTGAAGCAATTGAATCCATTTGACTGGTTTAATTAAATGTTCAACAGTTGATTGGTAAATTGGTTAAGATTCAAAGTCTCGACTTGAAGCATTTCTGGTTTAAATGACATTAAAGACTTCGGGTTTTTGGGTTGCCTTTGGATCATCAGCTTACCAACATGATAATTTTGTTGAAAGCATTTGTCATTTAAAATGATTTAAAATGCTTTTCAACATTAATCAATCTTGATTACTTTTCTAGTTTTTCAATTAAAATAACCATTTTGTTTCCATGTTTATAATTTTGGTTTCATGTAAATTTTAAATGGAAGCAAAAATTAATCATGATAATGAAATGAGATGTTAATTAATCACTTTTGTTTCTTCATTGTATTTATGGCTTTTCCTGGTCTTGCTGTTCACCTTTCAATGAAAGGTTTTCCTCTTTTTTTGTCTATGTTATCAAACCTTTTTTGCTAATGAAATTTCAACTAAAATTATTAAACATTCATTTTTCATTCTCTTTTCTTACAGATTTAGGAAATATTCAAAGAAAATTATCATTACAATTACTCATTGTGGAAAAAATCATGTGATTAATCATAGAGGAGTTTCAATTCGAAGTGAAGATTGCTCAAACATGGACCATCAGACGGTCAATTTGTCATCCCATGCAACTCGGCTGGACTATAAAAGTGACAATCTTTAGAGTTGAATAGATTATTGTAATTGTTCAATAAGAAGCCAAAGTATTATTCAATATTATTCAATTGTATGCTAAACTCAATGAATGGTTAAAATATCAATAAATTTTGTACATTTTTTGTTAGATTCATCTTCAACTGAATTGATGAAGGTTTTATCTTGATCTCAAATTGAATGTAAAGCTTAATAAAAATGTTAACTTTGAATTTTGAAAAATGAGCAAAAATGAAAAATTGCATTTCAAGCTGAGTTTAATATGGTTTGGGTGAAAAATGTAAAGTGAAAATAATTAAGCTAATTTGTTTCCAACAGACTTCATCATCTGGTTTGGCTTCTCATTGAAAATGTTTCCAGATTTTCAAGAAAGTGTTTTTTTCTCTCTCTGTTCATGCTGATCTGTTCTGTTCTGATTAGAGTCAACTTTTTGGGTGATTTTTTTTCTCTCACTGAATCAATGTGTGTTGGAAAGCTTTTAGTGTAGATTCAGCATTAACTTGTTTCCAATTAGACAATTCAGTCTGGGCCAATCAATCATGGTTTTAAGGGTTATTCAGATGTGAACAGAATAACTCAAATTTAACTGTTAAGTGATTTATGATCGACGAATGTCCATCTGGCTTTATATCTTTATTAAAGTATTGATAATCTCGTGAGAGTTTCAGCTTCTCTCTTTTCACTCAACTGGATAACCAAAACATTTTGCACTTCATCGATCATTTCATCATTTTTCTTGAAGAGCTGAATCAGATTATGAGTTGAGCAAAATGGTTGGTTTGGTTAATCAAAGGATTGGTAATTGTTTTTTAAATGTTTGAGCTAGTGATTAGACCATCATTATTTATAAAGCTTTAAATTTTATGGTTAACTTGCAGATCGCATCATTTTGTTTATCAATTAGCTATTTCAAATGCTGCGCGTCTTGGATAAAATTGGTTGTTATTGGTAACTTTGCAGGCTGGTAAAACATGTTTTCACTTTGATTGTTTTGTTTCGTGATAATTTGTTAATAAATTGCTGTCGCTATTGTGATTATGGATTCAGATAGAAATTCACCTTTCAATGTTCCTATTGGAAATGTGGGATTTAAATCACCTTACTTAAATCTTGATCCTAAAATCCTTTTAGGTAACCAAGAATCGGCTGATTACATTTATCTAGGTAAGGAATTTTCAATTGTATCTTTAAATTATATTCACTGAGAATTGCAAATATTGAAGTTAACTAACTATTCAATTTGGTAAATTTTGTAGATGGTGGTAATCGACCTTCTCGTGGTAGATTTGAATTAGCTTTTAGTCAAATTGGAGGTTCTGTTATGGCTGGTGCTTCTATTGGTGGAGTTATTGGTTGTTATAATGGATTTAAATTAACATCACTAAATACAGCAGCAATCGATTCTAATCATGTTAATAAACCTCTTTCATGGGCAGTTCGTAGATCACAAATATTAAATTACATTGGAAAAACTGGTGCTGTCACTGGAAACACGTTTGGTGTAGTTGCCTTACTCTATTCAGCTATTGGAGTTGGATTAGGTTTTTTAAATGATTCAAATGAAGATATAAATACAGTTGCTGCTGGAACTTTGACTGGCGTCTTATTCAGAGGTTTATCAAACCCACAAGTTACAAATGATGTCGCAAAAGAATTAATTAAATCTCAATTATGGCAAGTTAGATTACGACGATCACTAATTGGTGGCTTAATAGGAGCATCATTGTCATCGCTATTTGTTCTAGCAACAAATAAAGAGAAATATCTTAAAAGATGAAAGACTTATAAAAATTATAAGTTTAGAAATTAGTTTATAATTAACCTGTAATATTGTAAATCCAAACATGATTGATTAAATCTTAGAAATTAGCTATCTAGCAAAAAATAACTGTATCTTAAATTGATTTATTTCCAGATTTGATCTAGGACATTTCTTGTAACAAATACAACAAAATTCACGGGGTTTTAATTCTAATTACAAAAGAAATTTTTAAAGGCTTTTGCATTCATTTAATTTATAATTTATATGTTAATTTAGCAAATGCGTAGATATCTTTTACACAACAGTCGATCTGCCACCCAATCTATAGCGTTTTTATATTTGGTGAGCGTTAAACTCTTTTTTCTGCTTCTTGCTTCTTTTTGGCCTTTTCTTCATCCTCCAGTTGCTCTTCTTGCAATAACATGGTAACAATATCTTTCATTTGAGATTTAGGCAGTTTAAATTCTTCTCGTCCGAGTAATTCCAAAACCTAAAGATAAAATAAAAACAAATAAAAATAAAAAATGTATGAAAACAGTTGGCTAGTTTAAATAAGTATAACTACGGTTGAATTATTCAGGCACGAATTGTGCGTGAATATATTTGAAACTTTTGTTTATATTCACATTATATTTAGCGATGAAAATCAATTATACAAATTATAATCATGTGATAATTATACTTGAATTAGCAAGAGTAAGCCTAACTTTAAAACAAAGAAGTGTTATCAAGTTATATTAATGAACTCTAAGCTTATATTTTGCGGTTTTGTTAATTTTTTAACACAAAACTGTGAAGTAATTGTTCAGAAACTCACCTTGAGAACATGATCAACTTCAACTTTGCCATCATGATCAATATCCATTGCGTCAAGAACAGCAATTATTTTTTCCATTTTTGTATTATCATCAGCTTTTGATATTTTCTTTACAGCTTCTAGAAGTTCTTCAACATTAACCATTGCTTCTTTTGTTTCTTTAACCTTATCTCCGTCATCCGACTCGGTAATTCCTTTTTCAAGCGATTCTTTCTTTGATTCGAGGTTTGTGACCAAACTATCCATACGCTTTATCATTTTATCTACACGCTTACCAAGTCTTTTAGCTCCTTTGGAAATTTTGACTTCTTTCATACCAGATTGTTGAAACTCTTCAATATCTTCTTTGTATTCGTCCATCTCTTCATGAAGTTCCTTCAATTCTTCTTTTTCTAACATAAGATCTTTGTTTTCTAGCGCTGATTCAAGTGAATCGAAATCTTCCGGAGAAAGTTCAGTCTCTTTAGCAGGTCCTTTAGAGCTTGAATCAGTCATCTGGGCAGCTTTATCAACAATTTCTTCACCAGCCATTTGTTTCAAAGCTTCTTCTTCTTCTCGTTCTTTCCTGATAGCTTCTTCTTCTTCTCGTTCTTTCTTGATAGCTTCTTCTTCTTGCTTGATAAGCTCTATCTTTGTCTTGTTATCAATTTTACCTTCAGATTCACCAATCTTGTATCTTGCTTCGGTAACAGCTTCAGCAGGGAGAGCTTGAATTGTTGCTTTAAGCTGGTCTGTAGCTGGGAGATTGTCGGAAAGATACAAAACTCTCGATAATAAAAGAAGAGAGGGCGGAATCTGTTCGTTAAGGCTTAATTCAAGCCATTGAGCTAGTTGGCTACGAAGTTGATGTACTGGCAATCCTAAAGCTCGCATTCCTCGAGCTCGACAGGCTTGTTGAAGTTCAGGTACAGTTAGAGTATCAATACCTTCCTTCATGATCATTTTATCATCTGCCTTGAGACTTCTTAGTTTCATTCTCAATTGAAAACGCAAAAAATTACTTGTTCCTATGGGTTTCAGTTCTATTAATCTACAAAGAGCCATCAATTGTGGCCGAGTTAAGGAATCCAAAGTAATTTCATCTTCAAATATTTTTGAAAAACGTAAAATATCTTCGTTGGTAGCTTGTTCACCGGATGAGCGAATCTGTAAAAATAAAAATGTTAAAATTAAAAATATTATGCAAAGGCAATTTTGTAAATACAGTAAAAGATTTCAACAACATATTTGAAACTCAATCAAATAATGCAATCAAACAATGAGGAAATAAACATACCTTGTCAAAAAATTCTGCAAACTCTTTCGCCTTTTCTGAATGTGATTCACCTTTTGATTGCAAAGCCATTTCATCTAAGGTTGTCTGCAGAAATTTTGCCATTTCTAATTTGACTTTTAATTGTTGCTTGATTTTTGATTCCTAAAAATAGGGAAAAACACGATAACAGTAAATAAATTGCATAGGAAAATCCAAGAGACTATAGATGAACATTTCATCATCCTAAAGTGAACCCATTAAAAGGTTTGCTATACTTTGTTATTATAGAAGTTAAGTCAAATTAATCCGATTTACCTTATCCGAGGTCGTTTGGAAAGTTGAAGGCAACATGTTAGGGAATATTTTTACAAAAAGCGGCAATAACAACTCCATAAAAGGTACAATAATAAAAACAGAGAAAGGAAGAAGACGAAAAAGATCAGCTGTCGTTCGAACCAATTGTTCATGTTCTCTTCTTGATAATTCTTTCGATCTCAGCACTTTCCATGCAAGACGAGAAGATATTTTAATATCGATAAATAATAAACGGAATCCATGGTAATAATGTACAATTTCATCCATAATTCGTTTACCAAGACTTCGTTTAGGTTTAGTGTTATCCACTTGTTTACCTGATCCATTATTAGAAGATGATGCTGCTATTATTTTTTGTTGATTTTCTTTCTCTTTAACCTTTAAAGCTTTTAATGTAGATTCTACCTTAGATGATTCTTTTTCCCAATAAGGTGATGACAAATGTAAACATCTTATAGATGGTGTTGATCTAAGATAGTTACAATCAGAAGCTATCCTGTAAACACCACCGGTTGACCAGGAACGAACATTGGAACACCTAATTATATAAGAATGATACTTTGTACACTGAACAAAATGTGAATTAAATAGACGAATTTTAATACGAAGAGTTGATTGAAGCATAATGTCAACAAAAGATGACTAAATCAGTTGTGACAAAAAATATAAACTAAAATTAATATTTCTTATTTAACATTGAAAAATTATTAGATTCACACAAAATCCATGTTATTCTGCACCCCCCTCAATTTCATCCATCCATTATTCACTAGATGGCACTCAAACTCTAAACTTCTGTGGCTCCCTCTTTTTTAAAGGTAATGAAATTTTTTAAATCCAATCATTTGATTTCACATCTTCCAGTAATCACAATGTAAATTTTTGTCGGGCTTCAGTAAAATATATTGTCTTTTGTTGCATTTTTTTTGTTTTAGTTCAAAGATCTTACATAATTTAGTAAATTAACGATCAAGCAAATTTGTGATCCCACCATAGTGTAGTGTTCAGTGATAGTGGTAATCATTTCAACATCATCATGGGTGCCGATATTGAAATTAATGTTGGCTCATGGCAGCTAACTATCTACGTTACCGATTTAAAGGTTGAGAGAGTTTTACGTGTTAAAGGTGATCTTCATATTGGTGGTGTAATGTTACAACTTGTCGAAGACTTAGGTAAATAATCTAAATCAATTTTTTCGTCTCTAGCAATGTTTCTACTTTGATTGTTTTTTTCTTCATGTTTTCTTCTTTCAATCAATTTATATTTTTTTGTCTATTGAAAGCTGCTATTTATATCTGATGTTTAAGTGTCAAAATTTCGATTACTTTAGTTACATGAATTTACACTCATGTTTCCTTTCTCTTCTCAGTTTTTATCTTTCTTCTCCTCTCCTATCTATGTCATGCTATCAGAAATATCAATTTGGTCTATTTTTTCTTGCTCCTCTCTCAATTTCTTGTTTACTTCTTTTCAGATGTTGCTATTAATTGGTCTGATCATGGATTATGGTGGCCCAAGCGAAATATGTGGCTATCTAGAACTCGAACCACTTTAGATCAGTATGGTGTTCAAGCTGATGCCTTATTACATTTTACTCCTATGCATAAAACCTTAAGAGTTCAATTACCCGACTTACGATTTATTGATGCTCGAGTTGATTTCTCAATTAAAAGTTTCACCGCCGTTGTTCAACTTTGCAAAGATTTAGGATTACGACATCCAGAAGAGTTATCTTTCTGTCGTCCATTAATGGCTGAACATTTGAAAAGAAACTATAAATCCATCGGAGTTAGCCCACGACAAAGAGCCAAAGATGTTATGGGTCCAATTGTTCAAAATAATTCTAATGTATCCAACATAAGTCAACCTGATGGTAAATCTGACGATAGGTTAGCATCAAGTTATCCTTCATCTCCTTGGAACGGAAACATCTCCGGTATTTCAGCGTATAACGGACAAATGACACCTGATGACTCTTTTGGCTTTAATAACGATCCTATTTTGCCTAATCTTGCAGCAAGTCCACCCACGCCTTCCTTAGAAGCTAAAAGTGGTTTATTAAAACCAAAAAGTTTAGTTGAAAGAGCACGTTTAAATGCTGGTTGGCTTGACTCATCGCGATCATTGTATGAACAAGATGTTCGTGAATACGATCTTCTTCTCTTGCGCTTCAAATTTTATTCCTTCTACGACTTGAACCCTAAACTAGATAGTGTTCGAATTAATCAAATCTATGAACAGGCTCGATGGTCAATTTTAACGGAAGAAATTGATTGTACCGAAGAGGAAATGATGATGTTTGCCGCCTTACAACTTCAAGTCAACCTACAGTCAAACAATCCATTACCGGAGAAACAACGAACAAGTGCAGACGATGATATTGATAGTGAATTGAATGAGCTTCAAATGACTTTAGAAGGAACCAGTATATCTTCTACTTTAAGCTCCAACAACATCACCCACGTTCCCGAGTTGGCGGATGAACTTAAATTCATGAAATCTCGTAGATTTACGTTGAAAAGCCTTAAAAGGTACTATTTTGTCTTTCGGGATAAAAGACTCTCCGTTTACAAATCAAGAGAAGATAAAGCGGGAGAACCTGTTTTCTCGCTTAACCTACGCGGTTGTGAAGTTACACCTGATGTCAACCTAAGTCAAGGAAAATATGGTATTAGACTTGAGGTACCCAGTCACGATGGTATGACCGAATATTTAATAAGATGTGATTCAGAAGGTCAATATGCTCGTTGGATGGCTGCTTTTAGATTGGCTTCCAAGGGTAAGACAATGGCTGATTCATCCTACGAACATGAAGTTAAACAAATATTGGATTTCCTAAGTATGCAACATCCGGCTCCAGCTCCAGCAATAAACCCCAATCAAATAGACATCAATGTTGACGATTATGTAGCACCTCGATTTTTTAGAAAGTTCAAGGGAAAATCACAGGTAATTTTTTTCACCTTCATCCATTTCCATCAGTCAAGTTGACAAAATATATTTCCGATTCTTCCTATTTTCCCAGTTTAAATCCAATTCTATCTTTAATATCTCCATTTTATTCATTTGTTTTTTTCTAAAGATCGCCCAAAGAATTTTAGAAGCTCAAGCAAATGTGAAAGATTTGAGTAACATTGACGCCAAAATGAATTTCATCAAAGCCTGGCAAGCTCTTCCCGAATATGGAATAAGCCTGTTTGTTGTCAAATTTGATGGGAGCAAAAAAGAGGTTGGTAAAATAATTGCAATTATTACTTTTGTCTGATATGAAAATTGTTTCAAAAGCTTAAACAAAATCCTTGGTTTATTTTCCGCCTTATGATTGACGATCATTTCTCGTAACTGTTTAATGTATTTATGTGCTACTATATGTCATACTGAATGAAAAAACACTTAGCAACTTTCTTCTTCTCAATAGTGTTTAGTCATCATTTTCATCCTTTTCTCCATCTGTTTTCTTCTAATCTATTCCATTTGTCTCTCATTCAGTTTTCATGCATCTCTTAAAACTCTGTGAATGTCTTCATTTTCCTATTATTTTAGAGAAGTTCTTTAAAGGCATCACTTGTTTACGATTTTAATGACTCTTTTACATCAACTTTCTCACTCATTTTCTCCTACTTTCACTTGGTAACCAAAACAAAATATATCAACCTTCAAGAGTACTTCAGAATCTTAAAATTGAATCTTCCATCAAAACCAGGGTTTTCAAAATTTTTATACGTAACCTTTTATCGATTCTTTTTCCATCTAATTCTGCCGAAAAAATATTCTATTATTTTCCCTTCGAGGCCCAAATTTATCTAGAAAATTGTCATTTTTACTATTGAAACAATCAATTTGTCACTTAGTATTAATTCCCTCAATAGTTTTAATCAACGAAATGATGCAGGAAATCAACATTTGATTCTCATAGTATTTCTACTTCCATATTGAAATTCATGATGATTCATCATCATTTCCTGATTGATAGCTACATTTACGGTTGAAATTTATTTCCAGTTTTGATTTAAGTCTTGAAAAAAACTGTACACTTTCTAAAAATACTTCAATTCTAATGTTGTTACCTTTAACCCACTCATTGTTTTTCATCTTTCTAGCTCATTTTCATGGGTATTTATATTAACTGATGATGAATGATTTTGTTTAAAATATAGTTCTTTTTGTGTCATTTTTCACAGAAAAAAAATAAAAAAGCTAGAAGTAGAACACCAAGAGCTGAAAAAAAGGTTCAACAAGTTTTTGTCTTTTCCCAGCGAAATCTTCCAACTCACAAGTCTTCACTTTCTTCCTCCTTCCCCTCTCTCTGTGTCCCTATGTAATTTCAGTAAATGAATGTAGAGAAGGCGCAAAAAATAAGAAATCAACAGAGAAGAAATTCTTGCTAAGATGAACCTAACCTCAATGAAAATAAAACCAGGTTAACTTATCTGTGCATGCGGCTGAAAAGTTGCCAAAATTGATTTCAGCCGTTCAAGTTTATGGTACATGAGATCTTTATTTTGGTCTCTCAATTTTTAATTTTAAAAAATTTTCATCAACATTAAAAAACTAGCTCCAATAGCCTTTATTCAATCCAATTCAACCCTTGTTCAAGTATTAATTCACCATTTTATTTATTCAGGATTAAGATTGAATATTTTGAGTAGAATCGAAAATTTTGTCCAAATTTTCCTGTTATGCCAACAATTGATTATCAAATATCTGTACCTTTTTCATGTTTACCCTACAAGCCCACATTTTTCAATTCATTTCATGTTTTTTTCTAATAACTTTTCAATCTTTCTACCCTTCTTTGCTTTCATTTTTACTCTCTTCTCTTCATCACCCACTTCTAATCATCTCCATTTTATTTTCTTTTCATCTCTTCTTACTTTCCTCTCTCATTCACTCACTCACTCTTCTTTGTCTTACTTATTTTTCTTCCTCTCCATCTTGGAGAGACTAAACAACGCTTTGCTTGGCCGGCTAAATTTGGCTAATTTTTGGAAACGTCTGTAGGTGTTTTTATCTTCACAAGCAACCAAGGCTGTTACTTGTTTCTTAAGCATTAAACTCCAATATCAACTGAATGAAGATGAACTTGAAGCTTTTCCAAAAATGAGCTTCATATTTATTACGGAAACACTTGCTGTGTTATTTTTTGAATTGTTACTTTTCATCGCTATTCATTTATTTTCAGTTTTTGACCCCAAGTTGATAACCTTACTCTAAATTTGTAATCAAATTTGTTTTGACACTTTTCGAGCTTTGGTGGCGAAAAATATCTCTTCAACTTGAAGGCTTCAAGTTATTATGAATTACTGCCATTAGCTCAGCATAAATAATTTTACATTTATTATTTCCATTCCTTCTGATTCGTTGCAAATTATTGATGATATTTAATTATCAAACAGTCAAATGCGTAAAGCTTCATTTCTCATGGCTTTAGAAATTTCGATTGAATAACCTTTTTCTACTTTTTATTTGATAAAATATGATTTTTCACTGGATACTTCCTGGCAATTTTTGGTTCAGAAAATTGAGTTTTTTATCAGACAAAATCAGAAAATTATGAATTTTTTTGTACAAAATCATCTAACAATTATTATCTTTCTCATCTTTTAAGCAGGAACTTTTGGGTGTCGCTTTTAATCGACTGATGAGAATGGAACTCATGTCTGGTGATCATTTGAAAACTTGGAGATTCAATACAATGAAAGCATGGAATGTAAACTGGGAAGTTAAAAAAGTATTGGTACAATTTGAAGAGGAAAACGTCCAATTTTCGTGCCTTAGCGCTGATTGTAAAGTTGTCCATGAATTTATTGGTGGCTACATATTTCTTTCTATGAGAAGTAAAGACCAAAATCAAACTCTCAACGAAGATTTATTCCACAAATTAACTGGAGGCTGGGTTTAATCATGCAACATTAAGGATTGTAATTAGATAAATTACACTTATTATTGAATTATAATCCAAGAAACTTAAAGACACAAAAGCGAAAGCCTTAGATAGGCTGACAAAATGCAAAAGGATAATGTTTTACTGTTGAATTATTATATTATGATTATAAATATTATAATATTATAATATTATTTATATGTACTTACCAGAATCATGGATGCTTATACATAATTATGGACTCAAAAGCACTGAAAGGAAGAATGGAAACCAAATCAAGGATAAATTAATGGAGTTACTTTTCCTATTCAATAAGCATTTTGTTTAATTGACAAAACCGAGCCATTTAGCCTTTACCAACACTTAACACAGTGCCAAAGTTAATAATGATTAACCAAAATGATTGGATAATTGAAAGTTGATTCTGACCGCCTGACCAGAGATTAACCCAAGGACTAGGACAAAGATGACAATAATGGCAAATAATTTGCATTTGCATCTCATTGTATTTCAGAATTGCATTTTTCTCTCTTCTCTTCTCATCCTTATTTATCCATAAATCTTTTTTCTCTTCTTTCTATCCTTTCTTTTCTCAAATTGTAAATTTTCTCCTTCATTTATCCTCATCAATTAATCCCTATTCATTAACTTTAATCCTATCAATATTATAGCCTAATCTCAATTGGCAATAGTTAAAAGTGATCCTTGAAGCAACAAAAACAACGTAAACTGAACAGATATGAATCTATTCAATTTAATGAGCAGTTTTTTTTCATTCTCTTCTTTCATCCATTTTTCTGCTCTTCTTTTTCTCCTCATATCTTGTCAATGTCAATCTCAATTTCATTTCATTTGAAACAATCAACATCCAATCAACTCTGATAGAAGCTGAAGAAGAACAAATTATTTCCATTTAATTAAAATCGTAATATTAAATAAGAGTAACTTGTCACATTTAAGTTGAAATTATTGATTAGTTTGTGTTTTCGTATCGCGATCAACTATTTTAATGGCAATTGTACATTTTTTCTCGACCTTCGATAGAAAATTAAAAATCCAAAAGTGAAAATAAACCATTTTCATTATATTCTTGCTTGAAAATGAACAAATAATTTTATCCAAAAAATCATTAACATTTATGAAGGCCTTGGTCAGTCAATTTTGAATACAAAAAGTGTAATCATAGTTTTGTCAAGACATGTGTCAACAAGAGTTAGCGCAACGTCCATAATCCTGTTAGATAAATAGTCGCCAATCTACTCGTTAAAGAAATCATTTGCGATTAAAACAATTCGTACACCGCCTTTTCTTCATATGCTTTTTCACCTTACTTATGAGTTCGGTTGACCATTATCAAGACTTATTCAGACCTATCCAAACACTTGGCCTCTTGTTACTCTTCACAAAAAAGAGCGTTATGTTTGTTGGTTGATAATGTTAAAAAAACTGATGGTGAGTAAGTTGCTATTTTAAATAAAAATATTTGATAATGTTACTGATCAATGATTTAAATTTGTTTCTTTTGTAGACAGCTTTCTGAGTGTCTATGAACGGAAGGTGAAAAACAAAGAAATTGAATCTGATGAATACAAACTCAGAGTTGCTAAAACTTTTCAAGGAGTAGATGAACAGCTGAAAGGTTATAAACTAATCAAATCTAATTTTTCATCAAAGGTAACTTTAATCTCACAAATGTGAAACAAATAGCTGACTAATAATTTCTTGAATTTATTAATCTAGATCTTCAAACAACAAAATAAACCCAATCGGATAGTAAAAGGCCTTTATTTATATGGATCTGTCGGATGTGGAAAGACTATGCTAATGGACTTATTTTATCAAAACTGCCATGTAGACGAATACAATAAGAAACGTATTCATTTTCATTCTTTCATGTTGGATGTTCATTCAAGTATGTTAACTAAACATGATATATTGTTGCATAAAATGACTTTTCTAAATGTCTTTTTATTTTCACCAGGAATACATGAACAGAAAAAGAAACCAAGTGCAACGTCATCTCGAAAAGCTTTAAGTTATAATCCAATTCCTAGATTCTGGATCTTAGATTCTGATATAGATTATCGTCAGAAATCTCTTCCTTCGAAGCAAAACATTCATTTATTGTAAGTTGTTTTATTGAATTTATCATTTAATTGACTACAATGTTTCTCATTATGTTCACAATATTGCAGAAAAGACGAAGAAAAGCTGACAAAGAATTGGATCGCCTCTTCAAGATATTTGCCAGTCGAGAAACTGATAATGTTAGGCCAAAAACAATTGTCATCAAAGGAAGAAACGTTAAATTTGCAAAAACTTGCGGCAGAGTCCTTGATTCATCGTTCTCTGAACTCTGCGATCGGGTAAGTTGCCGCGCTCTTTGTTAATCTTATCAGCGTGCTTCAATATTTTCATTTATTAACTTTTCAGCCTCTTGGTGCTGTTGATTATCTGACTCTTAGTCAACTTTTCCATACTGTGATCATCAGAGATATACCTCAATTGAATCTAAAACTTAAAACACAAGCTAGACGATTCATCACTTTGATAGATACTTTTTATGATAACAAGGTAAGCTTTTGATTTATGCTTTTTCATTGAACTTAATGGAGTTTTCTTTTTTCTTTCTTCAGGTTAGAGTCCTTTTTGCGCAAATGTTTTAATTAAAGAATTGTTTATGGTTGGTGATTCGGATGATGATATAACTGATGAACAAAGAGCTTTGATGGATGATTTAGGAATCAAATTTTCTCAAGTTAAAGATTCAACAGACCTTTTCAGTGGACAAGAAGAAATGTTTGCATTTGATCGAACACTTTACAGGACAATGGCGATGCAAACTCTCGATTACTGGAATCTGAGAGAAATATTTTAAATTATTTTCAAGCTTACTTACTGGTTGCTTACAATCCTAGATTGTATAAAAGCTAACAAGGCTAGACTTAATGAATCTTAATGAAAATTTTTGTAGATCTGTATAAACTTAAGAAATTCATTCTCCGTCATTAATCAAGTATTTTCAGAAATAACAAATCGATTACTGATCTATAAACTGACAATTTATTGATAGCACAATTAATGAAAGACGTTAAAATTCAAGAAATGCAAAGATTTCTCAAGATGATTCGGGACGAAAGAAGGTAAGAAAAGAAGAAATGAAGTGAAAAGAGGAAAGAGAAAGGAAAGAGTAGATAATGATAAAAAAATGTTCAGTTCCCAGGGAGGATCATATTAGAAAAAGTATTGGAAGTAATTGAAAAAGTAAAGACAGAGAGTGTAGTTGGGTTGATGGAAAGAGACGGAATAATGAAAACAAAAATCTAATTCAAAAGAGATTTTTGTAGTTTTTTTGTGGTTGTGTAGGAGCAAGAAGATGAGAGAAAAATAGAAATTCAAGAGTAATGAAGATGAAAAGAAAGGAAAAAGATAGAGAGAAAGACGAAAAATGGAAACAGCCATTGAACTTGTGAGGACGTCCGTGTGAAGCTAAATAAAGCCTTTTACTTTGTTTCTTTTTGTGCAACTTTTGTAATATCAAATTAAGTCTTCTACTTTAAGAGTAAAATGTAAGGACACAAGACTTATCCAATATACAATACAATTTACTTCCGACTTTTCAAGTCTCTTTTTGGTTACCGGTAGAAAGCTTAGGATATTGTAGTGTTAATGTGTTCCTTGAGTCACAGAACGGTCCTCATTCTCATAGATGTGATTTATCTTCGAACTCCATGTCCATGTACAGCTGAAAATTCAGCAGAATGTTGCGTCAGATTTTCGTCAATTATCTGTTCATCTCAAAGAGTATAACTCTCTGATTGATCTAACATAAAAGGTAATAGAGATAATTTTTAATCTGTTTTTTACTCGACACAATTTCCCCATTTATCTATTTGCTACCTATTCAACTTGTTTTTGGTTTTTCGCAGCTTAAATGTGATTAACATGGATTTTAGTGATGATTTTTTCGACGTCTGGTCAGCTCAATGGCTTGATTATGTTGATTGTCCTGAATCAATTGACGAATGGATTGGTGTATCAAATTTATCATCACCAGAGCTACTACAGCAACCACAGTTATCTTCACCTTCATCGTCGTCTGTGTCTCCAAACAGTGTTGAAAATTATCCCATCGATAGTACATTTCCAACCAGTTTCCCCAAGTCAAATGGTTCTAATGAAGGCTCGAGTGACGGAATTAAGGAATTTTCAGATGCAATTGATGCTTATTTTTCTTCTAATTATCAGAGTCATGATGTAAATGAACCTGTACCAATCAACAATCCAAACTCGATTGAATATTCATCAACATCTTTAACCTATTACAATTCAACAACACTTAACTCGTCGTATATATCAAATTTATTCGGGCCATTGGGTTCAATTGATATAGGAAGCTTTTATTCCAACTATCATGCTGGAATGGTGCCTTCGAGTCACAGGCCGCTTTCACTGGCCAAAGACTGTTCAAAAGTGCAAGAACCTTGGATTCCAAGTGTGGCAAAGAAATTATTGGCTTCTTATTATTCACCACTGAGTATGAAATCTGAATTGCTTACAAATCAAGTCATGTTAGATGCTTTTGAATCTGTGGCGTTACAAGAAGCAGTTCAGGCATTTAAGGATATAGCCTTTATAAATCCATCTTGTGACTCTAATCTGGCGGAGGCAATAAAACAAGATTTTTACTCGGACCCACGACCAATCGAGCTCGTCTATTCTTGTGAGAAGCTCAGGGCCTACAGAAAGTTAAACACCGAAGATAAAATTCATCTAATGGCCCGTGCTTTTTTTGACATAAACCTGGTTAAGGCTATAGTTACTTATGATGAAACAATTGATGGTTGGTATGTAAGTAGATCCAACTTTCAGTTTCAACTCAATTTTGCTGTTCGCAACAGTCTGTTGCTGCTGTATCCAGATAGTTTATTATCATCTATCATCATAATGTTGCTCACTTTTTTAACTTCTTTTTTACCTTTTCTATTAAACTCTGGGAAACATTATTTCTTTTCTGGCAAATTTTTGGTCAAAATGAAAATCATACACACTGAATAACTAAAAGAGTGCTGGTAGAATCTGGCCAAGGACGTCCGTATCATGGGATTCACCAAATCTTGCAAAAGTGATAAATTTGATAGAAACTTTTCCCGATTTTGCACGAAATGATATCAATGTTGTTGCTTTACTCTATTTGATTGTCATTTTCAATCCAGATTTGCCAAAATTAAAGTTCCGTAATGGCATAAGGTTAGTAAATAACAAAGCTTCAACAGTTTCGATCTCATCTAATTTGTTATTGAGTTTTAACTTTTGATGATTTTCTTCTTGATAACAGACAAGAACAATACATTTACATTTACTTGCTTAAACGATACCTTGTCTCACTTTTTGGATCCACTTGTGAAGCATCGGATTATCATTATCGTTTAATGGTTAAAATTGAACAAGCCATTAAAATACCAGAAACCGTGTTTTTTGAACAAATTGAACCAGGCAGTACAAAGGTGCTGAAAAACCGTGTGGTTAAACTTGTTCAGTATAAAAGGTTAGTGAAACATGAGTGACACAATTTGATTTCAATTAATAATAACTCTTGTTTATATCGTTTCCAGCATCACCATGGGAAACATAGGCGATTAAAGTATCAAACGCAGTCTGAAAGACAGTAAATTGACTTATCAATGACTTTCTTATCTAGAAAACTATGAAATGATTTTTCTGGGAAAAGTTATATGATTCTGGTTGAGATATCATCAACTCTTTATACAGAGTATCTTGTGGTATCAGATGCTTAAAAGCAATTGTTGAAGTAAATCTTTTCTGGTAAACAATGGCATTTAATGTGATGTAACCTGGAACGTCAACATTGAAATTGTTACCGATGGGCTTCATCATGTGGTGGACCTGAAAAAAGGAAAAACTAATTATGGCATTTGTTTATTAAGCTTAACTTTTTTGAACGGTTTCAGTACCTCAACCATAAAAGTTGATCAGAGGACAAACGTCTTTTGGTCTTGAGCAAAGTATTTCGACTTATTTTCTCGATTTCTTTAAAACTAAATCATCATGATAAATCTGTATTTCAATGACTTACAATTTTGTTCAATATCCCTTGAAATAAGGAGCAATTTCAACAAATATATTTAAGAGATTCAATGCTATTGAGAAAAAAAGACGAATGATGTTGATCAATTTTTGCCTGTTAATTATTCATTGTTTTCACTCTAACTTACCGTTTCATTATAAACTGGTAATTAATCAGTCAGCTATGATAGTGTCTTATGTTGTCATAGTTTTTAAAGGAACGTCTATTTATAAAAATTTTCACCACCAACTTGAGGATCATTTTGATGAAAACACTTTACATAATGTGATGTCACTCCAGATGGAAAAGCACAGAGGAAAAGAAGTGGGAAAGACTCAACCAAAATAGAGTTGAGTTGAAAGAAGACAAAGAATTGATAGTTTTAATGAAGGGAAAAATTCTGGTGAGTTACTCGTATTGTGAATTGGGTATTAAAGATCTTTATTCAGATTATGGGCCAACGACTTGTCATGATCCACACTGAATAAGAGAAGAAAAAAGGAAAAAAGACGAAGAAAAAATATAGGGGAAAAAGGGGAAAAGAAAAGAAGGGAGGAAAGGAATACGAGAAAGACAAGAAAGAAACAGTTAGTTTAGAATGGTGAAAATGTTACGTATATGAGTGTATCTATTTTATTTTCAGCTTTTTAGTATTTAATTAACCTTTATTCTCGATTATGATATAATTTATTTTATTTATCAACAATTGTTTTACTACCTCAATCATCAATATAAATTGTATCTATTGTCAGTGTTGCCATTTTTAACGGAAAAACAAGCCATTCTATTGAAACTTGTCATATTTTGGTAACCATTGTGAAGGTTCATCTTTTGGTCTGTGCTTTGATATTGAAAGGATCCAATTGTAACCTCGGCTTTAATGAAATGCCAACTCTAGTCCTTGATTCAACCTCCAAGGTAATTATTTTCAGATTCATTACTGTTTCGATTATGAATTCATGTCCATGTCAAGATGATCTTATCTTATTTTCCTTTTCTTTCTTTTATTTTTGTATCAGAATTGTCATCTACTCACTGACTGTTTATTTACTACTCTGGTTCATCGCATTCATTGTCTATTTAACCAATAATTAAGACGTGCCAATAATAAAGTAAAAGCTCAATTTTCATCAACATCAGCTGTATATCGTACAATTATGGTTCACTCTTTTGAAGAAATGGAAGAATATGATGTTTATCCCAAAGAATCAACTGACAATCATCTTCCTGTTATTAACTATGGTTCATCTTCAATTAAAAAGAATCGACTTGTCCGTCAGGATGCTTTTGATCTAGTCGAGCCTCCTGGTTCTGCATTGAAGCAACAGGGAATGCCAGAGAAACCAAAAGAGCAATGACAATAACAACGCTAATACTTAAAGTAACATCACATTCATCTCAATGCCACCCTTTTTCAAACAATTGATAAAATCATTTTCATTTGGATTCCTCGAATCTGATTAAGTATGTGCTATTTACATCATTGGCTTCGTCTTGAGCATTTACTGCCTCAATCTTATACTTTATTTCAAATTTGATTTAATCAATTTGCATTGTATTGCCGCTGTTGGCATCTTCAATATCATCTATAACTACCAAACATCAACTGCTCATCAGTAACATCGCTCGCGCAACATTCCTCATTGGCTCAGATTGAACAACTTTCCTCAATTTCATCTCCAGATTTTCCATCATTATTGGTTCATCAATTTTTTTGTAAAACAACGACAACGACACTTCTTCGCATACCTCTACCGTGAATATTTCTGTTAGCTTTTTAGATCATTAATGTCCCTTAAGCTCAACCAGGTTGCAATTGATAGCCAATCAAATATTGTAGCATGCCATCGCTAATGTCCATAACTCAAAATAGTTCAGATTGACTATGACAATTCATTGTGCAAAACAATTACTGAGTTGTCCTCCACTAGAATATGCACAATTTGTTAACTCGAAAATTAATTGTTCTTTATGATTGTTAAGCAGTTAAAAAAAGTGAGAAATATTAATACAAAAAAAGCAATAGCAAAGCCCTAGCTTCATCCGAATTTAGACTATACATCTTATAGCTGTATAATGATAAACTTAATATTGCCATCGTTTAATCAAGTTGAAATTCCCTTTTTTAGAATTCAGCAATTTAATTGTTGACTAGAATCAAGCTTAATTAAACCTGTACCTTATACTAAGGAAAAACTTGTTGGAAAATGAAAGCCCGATAAGACTCAAGAGTGATTTTGACTTTCATTATTTATAAATTAGATTGAAAAATATCCCTTTCAAAATATTCCTTTTTGTTGTCTCTTACAATAAAGCCTATTGGTTAATTGTCATGCTGATCTCCCATTAAACAAAAAGATTAGAAAAGCAAAACAAGGAAACAAACAAAGCCTCAAATCCAGCAATTAATCCCAATCGTAAAAACACTTGAAAAATGTTACCACAAAACGGTTAAATTAATTGACGGACAAAATTTAAATATGTTATGTGTAAAAATCATGTATTTTTGACCATTAAACAAATTCCTAATCATTTAACCAATATTATTTTATCGTGTTTATTTGCTGATACAATTATTGAAGGAATAAATTGTCATCAATGTCTTTCTTTGATTTCCTCGAAAAGAGCTTGTTTAATCCATCTCGCACTCAAAGATCGATTGACCCTAAATTAAGTGATTGTGGCAGCAATTTTGTTCGTATAAGGATTAGATTGAACAATTTGCAAGAAGATGACAACATAACATCTGACATGGACCTCAGAAGATGTGAAGATGAATCATCGAAAGAAGGATTGGTCAAAATATCGAGTGAAATATTTCGTTATCGTTTCTTGTCATGTTTTGAACAAACACCTGATCCCAACCTTCGAGGTCGAATAATAATCACGGATAAACAAAGTCTTTCCATGTTTAGACGAGCAATGGATTGGCTGACAATCAAGAGATTTGGAGTTTCGTGTATCTTTACCTTTCAGGATAAAGTATCCAATGGTTTGACTAAAAACCTTCAAGTAATCTACTTAATCAACACTACACACATCTCTGACTCTGAATTTAAACAACAAATTGCCGATGTAAGGCGCCGAGAGTGTCGCAGCTGCTGTATATTTCTAACTTATATTACTGATCCTTTTCATGTGGAAACCACCAATCGACTTGCATTGTTACAGAAAATTATCACCATGAAATCATTATCTTCTCCCTGGATTGTTGGCGCTTTTCATGGTTTTGATCCTTGGATAGGTTTAATCGATTCCCAAGCCAACCTGTCTTACCTCAAACAATACATTTCGCAGCCCAGTTCTTCTCAAGACACCTTGACTAATCGTACCATTTGTTGTCGTCTGGCTTTCCGTTTGGTTAACGTTTTTGAACAAATGAATCAATTTCCAACCGTTCGCTACATGAAGACATGGCATCCTCACAATCATCTAATTGGACAACTCTTTGTTAAAGGACTAAATGGATTAAAAGAGAAACGACGAAAGTCTGGAGAGACAATGGATTATCAGCAAGATTTCTTACTCCTCATCATTGACCGTTCAGTTGATTTGCTGACACCAATCCTGCATGCAACTTATTACCATGCCTTTGTGGAACAGGAATTGGAAACTTCTTTCCCTCACTCTTCAGATAGATTGGACTCTAAATTAAGAAATGTTCACATTAATGATATCAAAGACAGGCTGGCATCTCTTTCGCGAGAATTGAAGGCAAACCATTATAACATGAGTATCAAGCAACAGGAGATAACAATGGACTTTGTGCGTTCACACCTTGAAATATCACAGCGTTTAATGGCCAAAATGAATGATGATTATCGACAATTACTCTTATTAGAACAGAATGTGGTTGACACTTTGAATCAACGATTGGATAAAAGTCAATCGAAAGGAGTGAAGCTGCCAAAGTCTCGTTTCAGTGATACTGTTCATTCGCAATTTGGTACCAAAATCGATTCTGATATGAATCCGTCTGATCTTCATCGGTTGGTTATTGCTCGTTCATTGTTGACTAGAAGTTTCGTAGGAGCAGCTTATTTGAGGAAATTATTGGGCAAGAAAAAGTTCACTTACAAAGATTCATCGATCATCTCTAAATACTCTAAATTAATGATCAATTTATTTGATTTGAGTGAAACTCTCTCATTCCGTTTTCCTGTTTTATCGCATTTAATTGATCAAGTTTATTCAGGATTATTGGCCGAAGATAAATTTCCTTTTGTTGAGGCCAAAATGAAAACTGCAGCTCCAAGGAAAAAATTGTGCATCTTTGTTCTTGGTGGCCTTTCTTATAATGAAATTCAATACTCTGGAGTTGAATTAAATCGCGATGTTGTTTTGATCTCCGATAATTTATTAACCTCAAAAAACATTTTGTCATCATTGTATCCCGATGAAGCTTAAATGTTACAATTGTGGGCTTATTTTATCAAACCATTTATTTGAGTGTAATGGTTAAAAGTCTTGAAGGTGGTGATGAATTAATGTTTATTTTTCAGATGATTGTTTAAACATTTATACAGATTGTAAATAAATTGGATTAATTAAACATATTTTGGTCTTTACACTTTTCTGAACAGACGTTAATGCTATTAAATGGTTAATATGTTACAGTCAATTTTTATAAATTTAATGCTTTTAAATATTGTTTCATGTCCACCTCCAATTATATCAAACATTACAAATGTCTGTGGTGAGTTTAATATTAATTTGAAATTGATGTTGGCCTAACTCAAGTTTTCATTTCGATATGCACAGACTGTGGCAAAATTGATCCAACCAATTCAAATTATTGGCCTTGGTTAGTTAAAATTAGGTAATAGCTATTTGTTTTTGATTCAACAATTCAGTTCAGCAATCTTTTCTCCTTAACTCACAGATCAAGATTTGCGGATAAAGTTATTGATTGTCAAGGTGTTTTAATAAGCTCATTTGATATATTAACTGCTGGTCATTGTGTATATTCCTCTAAAATCGGTACAAGTAGTCTAGTTACTGTCTACTTGCCATTAACTAATCCGATTTCTTCTCAGATTGAATGGATTCAACAAGAAGTTCATAGATTTAAATACGATTATCGTTCAACAAACACATCGCACGATATTGCTGTGATTAATTTAATTGAAAGAGCTCCAGATTATTATCAACCAATATGTCTAACATCTCTTGAAATGATGGTAAGCAATGGTATAGTGATTGGTTTCAATGAAAACATCCCAAAATATAATTCTATTGTTCATCAATCTAATGTCGAAATAATCAGTGGTAAGTAGTTTTGATTATTAATTTGAATCCATTTTACAAGATGCATCAAGACAGAAAAAAAGTTTTCATTACAATCAAAGATTGTGGTTTGTTTCAACAATTTAACAGATTTACAATATTACAGGTTAATTATAAACTAGTTTCTAAACTTATAATTTTTATAAGTCTTTCATCTTTTAAGATATTTCTCTTTATTTGTTGCTAGAACAAATAGCGAAGATAATGATGCTCCTATTAAGCCACCAATTAGTGATCGTCGTAATCTAACTTGCCATAATTGAGATTTGATTAATTCTTTTGCGACATCATTTGTAACTTGTGGGTTTGATAAACCTCTAAATAAGACGCCAGTCAAAGTTCCGGCAGCAACTGTATTTATATCTTCATTTGTATCATTTAAAAAACCTAATCCAACTCCAATAGCTGAATAGAGTAAAGCAACTACACCAAACGTGTTTCCAGTGACAGCACCAGTTTTTCCAATGTAATTTAATATTTGTGATCTACGAACTGCCCATGAAAGAGGTTTATTAACATGATTAGAATCGATTGCTGCTGTATTTAGTGATGTTAATTTAAATCCATTATAACAACCAATAACTCCACCAATAGAAGCACCAGCCATAACAGAACCTCCAATTTGACTAAAAGCTAATTCAAATCTACCACGAGAAGGTCGATTACCACCATCTACAAAATTTATAAAATTGAATTGTTAGTTTATTCCAATAATTGTAATTCTGAGTAAATATAATTTAAAGATAGAATGTAAAATTCCTTACCTAGATAAATGTAATCAGACGATTCTTGATTGCCTAAAAATATTTTAGGATCAAGATTTAAGTAAGGTGATTTAAATCCCACATTTCCAATAGGAACATTGAAAGGTGAATTTCTATCTGAATCCATAATCACAATAGAAACAGCAATTTATTAACAAATTATCACAATTAAAATAATTTTGAGAAGAAAAAAAGTGAATTACAGTAGGTTATAATATACGCCGTATATTGAAAATCAAAACAATCAAAATGAAAACATGTTGATACAGACAAGTTACCAATAACAACCAGTTTCAGACAAAACGCGCAGCATTTGAAACAATTAAAACCATAAATGAAGTGAAAAATTGTTTTTCAACTTAATATCCTAATCAAAACTGTTAAAATTATAATTTATCTTACCTTTAATAGATTGTGAATTTCAGAGACAACATTGGTTAAATTTCTCAAAATCAACTGAAAACAACTTAGGCACATTTACTGGGTATGATCCAATCAACTTCTCAATTATTTGTGGGATCAACTCTGCTTCTAAAAACGTTTCCATCTTAAATCAAGATTGTCAACACATTCCTGGTCAACCTTTGATTCATAAAAGTACGTCAGATGGACGATGGTTTCTAGATGGTATTGTTTCTGGTACCTGGTTTAACAATAAGCACGATTGTTATCACCCTTTTCCAACCATCTATGTTTCCGTACTATTTTACTCTGAATGGATATATTTTAATAGCATTGAATGTTGTCTGAATACCGACAATTAGCTTCTTATTGGAAATCATCAGTAAAAATCAATTAATAGATGATCAAAGATTCGTCAAATCAAATACTTTATTCAAGCAAAATATGTTACATTTTTGCTTGAATGGCTTTATCAAACTTTTGTGCTTAAAATAGTGAAAATATTACAAACACCTAGTTGTGAATGATGAATAAAATTCAATAAAATCACTAATTGTTTTATATTTAATTTTAATGAATGAGGAAAGAAAAGATGAAACAATAAAAAGGTCACTTTGTTCGTTTCAAGTCATTAGCATCTGAGAAAGGTGAACAACAAGATTGCAATACAAGTATATAAATAAAAAAGTGGACGTGAAAGATGAAAATGAATGAAGTTTAAGGCAATTGATGATTCGATTATTAATTTTATAAGTAGAGCCAATGGATTGTGAATATAGTAATATAAATAAAGATATGTATATTATCTTGGAGTGGGTAAAAAGTGTCCCAAGGATGGATGATTTGATCCATAGTTTGAGGCTCCATTTGTAGACATGTCAAGTTGACCAGTTGATGAAGTGGACGATGATGATCTACCTGTTATTGATAAGCCATCAGTAAAAGGATCAGGATGAGGCCATCCAGCCATCCCAGCAAAAATACTTGAAGATAGTGCAGAAGCTTTTGCACAATAAGATGTATTATTATGATCAGGGGAAGAAAGGGTTGCATCAATATAAGGTGTAGAGTTGTTAACAGGGCTCGATGTGGAAGTTGTTGCACCTGAAGAGATGAGACAGAATTTAATGAGGATGGTGAAAGATAAAAATCATGCAATGAAGAGGTTTTCTTACCCATTGAACTGCCTGTGGAATTCATTCCTTCATGATGATGAGAGTGGAGATTTGTTGGTGGATAAACTGAATTGTGATGGTAATCAGATACAAATCTACTCCAACCAGTGCTACTCAAATGAGGATAACCAGGTCCAGAAATTTGATGATGTGTGTGAGGGTGAAAAGTGTGATGATGGTGATGTGGATGATGAGCATGGTGAGATGGCGAGGATGGCGGATGTGGTCCAAGAAGATGCATGTAAGCTTCAATATGATGAGTTGATGGTGCAACTGATGTTACGGTTGATGTTGCTGAGGATGATGAAGATGTTGAATCGATATTACCATTTTCATTATTGTTATCAGAATCGCTATTGTTGTTTCCATTGTTCAACCCAGAGTTGGTGTCAAAAACATTGTTACAATCAGCTGAGTTATTCAAATTTGATGAACCAGACGATGATGACCCAAGCACAGAGTTAGAAACTGATTGAGGACGATGATAGCTATTAGATGATGGTGAGTTGTGATGTTGATTTTGATTGTTACCATTGATTAAAGATGAACAGTTTGTTTCTAGTAAATTAGACGAAGAGGATGATGCGATTGTTAATAAAGGTTCACTATGACCACCTGATGAAGTTTGATGGTGGAACGATGTAGATGGTGATGAAGCTTGTCCATTGTTTAGTCTTGATCGAGAAATAATTTCACCATAACCATGGTTAGCTGCTTGATCTTTACCAATCAATCCATAAGTACCACTGTATCGGCCTTGTTGTTGAGGTGTTGTGGGTGGTGTGGGTGGACTTTGATTGTATCCTGAAGGACGTGATAATGAATAGTTTGTCAGGTAAGAGGATGAAGACGGTATTCCAATCGATGAAGAAGATGGCGATGAGAATGAAGGATTACCAACAAATGTAGACATCGATAACGGGTTAATATTGATATTATTGCTCTCATTATCATCAATGTCACCATTTTCACGTAACATTGAAGCTTGATTGTGTAAGTCTTCATTGTGATGATGAACGGAACTATGGAGGTGAGAGTGTGGATGAGTATGATGATGAGAAATTTGATTAGCTAAATGAGCAGATTGAGCGTGATGAGAAAGAGCATCTGTGCCAAACGATGATCCATTTGATGAAGGTTCACTTGGTGGACGTGAGATAGGACTTCTAGATATATCATCATCTTCAGCCAGAGTTTGATTACTCAATGAATTTGATCCCGGTGAATCAATAGACGATGAAGCTATATTACCAGATGAACTATCATGGTTAGCTGATGAAGATGATGAACCTCGATTATGACCATTTGTACCATTGGATTTAACTGGTTTTCGGCGTCTTGGTTGATACTTATAGTCAGGAAAATCTTTCTTGTGTTTAAACCTTAATCTCTCAGCTTCAGCAATAAACGGTTTCTTCTCATCATCCCCAAGAACTCTGCTGTAGATAAACATAAAATTTGATAGAAAACGAAATTTTCATTAATAAATAGGAACCAAACAAGATAAAACAAGTGAAAAATAGACACAATAAAATGTTAAAACACATTATCCACTATAACCACAACAAATTGAAACATAAACTGAGAAGCGCAAGCTTTTTTCACATTTTATAAAACTGCTCAAACGCTAATTAACTATAGATTAACATTACCAATGGTAATAACATTGATGATAGTTGTTAATTAAAGATAAAACAATTTGGAAACAAAAAGCTCACAAAATCAAAATAAACATTATTTGTCTGTTTTTAACATTTTAACGACTTTCTTCTCTCTTCTCTCTTCTTTCATTTTTGATTTTTTTACTGTTTTTCATTTCTATGGGAAAATTGATTTAAGCAAATTCTTTCAGCTTACAATCAAGACAAAAATTGTTTTCAATATTATTATAGATTGAAATGATGAGCATTAAAAAAAATTCAATCGACCCGGGCAATTGAAAGCAGTAGTTGGTTAAAAAAACGGACAAAATTCAAACTCCATTTTTTTCCTGTCAACACCTAGATGGCAATCAAAATCAATGCAACCTCTTATGTCACAAGGTTTGCACCAAATATATTATTTACTCTGTTATCAACTAGTGTTAACCTGTAATTAGAGTTAAAAGTGATCTTTAAAAATTCAACTTTTCATGATTGTTTCCAGGTCTGACCTGAAGCTCCAACAACAGAGCTATTAATTTGACCTGAGCCAAGTATTATTAAATAGTGCAACAAACTCGTACCTCCAAAGTTTTCCCAATGTTTTACTGAGTTCAGCGTTATGAAGGTGAGGATATTGTTCTGAAAGTTTTCTTCTTGCAGCCTGAGCCCAAACCATGAAAGCATTCATTGGCCTTTTAACGTGAATCTTGAGCTTGGATGAAGTTGTTGGTCGACTCTTGGTTGTCACTAAAGTCCAATCATATCCTTTTAAAACTTTGGTCACTGCATCATTAATTGAAGAAGCCAGTTGATCCGAATGATTAGATGATTTCCTGTTGTCAGTTGACTTGGGAACTGAAGAGATTGTCAACGAAATTACATTTGATCCGTTTGCTGGTGAGGATAACGAGGAGGCTGTTGATGAAGAAGAGGACGAGGATGAAGAAGATGAAGATCCATTTGTTGATGGAGAAGCAGAGGTTGATGATGAGCTTGGTGTTAGTGTAACCAATTGAGATTCGTTGCACTTTGAAACATTTACTGATTCCTCTGTTGACATTTCATCACTCATATTATTGGAAGACAATTTGATTTGCATAATAATTCACTAAACTTTCAACTGATTTACAATCAAAGGCAATAATTATTCAATGGATGGATATTGGACAGTCACAATAGACGATCACAGTAAATGGTCACAATGGAAACAATGGATAGATCAAGAAGAAGGACGGTAAACATTTTCAAAGGACATTCAGTGGCAAAAATAAGGAGACAAAATTGGATGGTGATGTTGAATAAATTGTTGAAATGAAATAACCATATAGAAAGGAGGAAAAAATACAACAAAATAGCAAACGAAGAAAGGAAATGGATAAAAGATGATGATGGCGAAGATGTTGATGGTGATATTTTTGTTATGGTTTTACGTTAAGTTCCGTTTGATGTAGTTCAAAAATAAGAAGATGGAAAAGAGAGAGAGAAAGAAAAACGCGAATACAGAAGATGGTGATGATGATGAACTGAATAGGAGGAGTTAGGAATTTCAGTCCTTACAGTATTCATCTTTGTTTTTGGGCAACGAGTCATCACAAAAAGGCAAAGTTCCTAACTCCTCCTTTATTTCCTCCTCCTATTCAGCTCATCAACATCATTTCTATCTTTTTGCAGCTTCTTTTTCATCTGCTCTTTTCTATCTCTACTCATCTGTATTCACAGATTTTCATCATCAAACTGAACTTAGTCTTAAACTTGAACAAAAATATCTTCATCAACAACAACATCTATATGGCCATGGTTATTTCAATTTGATCAACATCCGATCAAGAAAGGCGAGCGCAAAAAGATTTCAATTTTTTGCCCAAAATCAAATCATTTTCTTCCATCTCTCCTTGGTTCAATCATTTTGAAATGGATTCAATTTTATGTTCAGCAAACATGGAGCAAAAATTTATTCAACTGATGTTTATTAATTATCATTTATAACAAGACTAATCTGTTTCCTCCTGTTTCTGATGAGAGGAAAAATGTTAATCAAATGAAAGACTAATGACAAACGCACAAAGTAATAAGATGAATTATAGTTGATAAAATGATTTATGATACAAACTGATGATCAACTGTGTCATGATAATGTTGACTGAAAACTGAAAAGTGAAAGGTTCATCTTGCAACTTTAATTAAAACCCAGAATCAAAACAGAAAAAAAAGCAAACGATTAAAGTCTAATGTTTAAAATACAAGTTTAATGGATTAACTTTAAGTCATCAAGTTGAATCCTTGAATTAACATTGATGTTTACATTAAATGGTGTGTAAATTGTGAATACAGAAACAGAAATAGTGAAATTTGAAATGTTAAAGTTAATCAAAACAATTGGACAAAAGTGAGACAATTAATCAAATGAAAGGCAAATTTGCAAATATTTCAATCGACAAGTTTGGACAGGAAAAAAATGTCTTAAGCAAACATGAAAGCTTGACCGCACTGAATGTCACTGAATGGTAAAATTGTTGACAATAATTGGTGACAATTTGTGGTTATTGGGTAAAATGTAATTACTTTGAACAATCAAGGATTACTTGAAGTTGTCAAAATATTAGTATTACATTGATGAGAGTTGAAGGTAGACAAACAAATTTGAAATGTGCCAAACTGATGAGGCAAAGATGTTGCAAAGGATGAAGATGAGAAGGTGAAAGATGATGAAAGTGAGCCGAGTTATTTTGTTGGCAATAAATGTAGTGAATAGTAACCGGATATGTATCATTATCTGAGTATATTAGTTACGGTGTATTGTTGGCGGCTCATTTCTCGATTTTCCGCTAAACTTTTGAACCTTTTTCGCTGTAATTTATTTTACAATCTCTTAACCCTACACTGAGTTTGCACAGAGGGACAGTCGGTTGAACACACACCAAGCCTTGGAGTATCCAAAGGAGCAGCATCCAGCATTTTGGTAAAACAAAAACATACACATCAAGATAAAGGCGTTGATTTGATATTGAATAAGTGATGAGGATAAACTTTATCTTCATGTTTACTTCTGCTCATCTCTAAAACAAATCTCAATTAGTAGAACATTTTTCCGACTTTTACTCAACCAAATCAATCTTCATCATCTTTTATTCCCTTCTCTGACCATCGTCTTGTTCACCCTCATCGCACTGTTCATCTTCCTTCACTTGTACCGATGATAATGACGATCCTCCTTCTTAACGCGTCCATCTTTTGTCTTGCTTCATGGCTGACTGCGATATCCTTTGAAAAGGCCAAACACTTTGGTCTCTTTTTTTCTGCTCTTCACATACATTCTTCCTCTTCTTCTTCATCATCATCAAATTAACAATATTTAATATTGAATTTGACTCTTTTCTCTTCTTCTCATCATCTTTTTTCTTCTCTTTTTTCTGCTTCTCTTCAAATCATCTTTTTCTTTTCTCAGTGACCCTGAAAAGTGTCTTTTTGTAGCTCCTTCTTTCAACTTGGAATGTTAAGAGAAGCAAAAAAAGATGACGATGATGAGCCTGGTGATGATGAAGAAAAGTGAAGTGCCAATGTAACATTCCAGGAAGAGATTGAACTAATAAATTGCCAAAGAAACTCATAAAACCATGAAAACGTTGCCCATCAAATGTTAAACCATTATTATACGTTTGTCATCTCTCACGATTCCTTGTTTTTACTCTATCATTATCACAATGCTTTGCAGATGAAAAATATTGAAGTTTAACCAGAAAAAAAAACCAAAGACAAAAAACTATATCAATCGTAATTAAAACGCAAACCTTGGTTCGCTCATTAAAACTAGTTTTCTGTCGTTCGCTCCTCCTTTCCTCATCCCTTTTCACCCTCTTTTTTTGCCTTCTTGTCTGAATCCTTTTCCTTTATCCAATCAGGTTAATTGACTCGGTAAGGATAGACCTGAGCAAGAGAAGCAAGTTATAGGATGAAATGAAAAGAACGGAAAAATGAGTAAACTATTTGATGAAGATGAATGATAAAATAGTTGAACGTTTATCATGTTAAACCATCAAAAAGCAGGAGGAGGAGTAAAGAGTGTTGAGTTTCAATAACAGGTTACCTTTTAAAATTCAAAAAAACTCATCATTTTCATCTTTAACTTATCTTTACCTTCATTAACATTTCATCAACAGTCCGAGTCTAGGCCTTGTAAGGTAACTCTATCAACCCAAGTGAGTGACTCTCTTCCCATCAAGTCGACACACAATGAGAGTCTCTTTACGTGGAAATTTTTCATTTTCATTTTTCCATTTTTTCTTCTTCTCATGTTTATCATTTTCATCGGAAAATAGGAAAAGTTGAACTCTTCAATCAACTGTTGATCAAAGTAAACCTTTCATCCTGATCATCACTTCAAAACTCTACTCATTTCTCATGATGGTGATGATAGATTTGACCTGACGATCTCCATCACTATTTAAGTTGCGTTTTTTTTGGCTTAATGATAACTCAGTTTTTTTTCTTGCTGCAATTGCTTGCATTCACATTTTTTGATTGCGTAAAATGATTACATTGACTGTAAACCTTTGCTGCTTGAATCAATGTTACCTTGTAAGGCACGATAACCTGTACCTGACTCCCTCTCAATCATGAAAAATGTTTTTCTTCACCCAACTTTTCACTCTCGTTTTAAAGATGAAGAAGATAACTTGTAATTTTCCCGAAACTGATATATATCATTACCTTTTATCCCATCACTTTTCAACTTCACATTTTTTTTCATCACCTTTCTTATTTGTATCATCCAATTGTATCAGTCCTTTGCTTACTGTTTAATCCTTGAATCAATTTCAAATGAGAATGATTAACTCTGATAACGAAATCCTTTCTTCATCTTTCCATCTCCAATCATCTAGTTCAAACAAAATTCAATCAACATTCATCTTTGATGATGCGGCAAAAGGCAGTTTGTAATAATCGATAATCATCTGAATAAAGTCAGGGAAAAATTGAGAACAAAGTTATTCTTTTCACGAAAAATTTTCACCAACATTCACTTCGATAGCAAAGTAACTTTCAATCAGATTATCAGATAATCAGATTCGGTTTCAAGAATGAAAATTAAAAGGTAAAAATGAAACAATGAAAAGGTGAGAAAAAGTGGAATCAAATCTTGTGGATCATCTTCAAATTTGACTTTTCATGGAAAAAAAAGAAATGAAAATTTTCGAAATAACATTGAAACGAATTTTCATGTGATTCAAATTTTTTGGCAAACAGTTTAACCATTTCAAGTAAAACATTAATTTCGAAATGTGTAAGAAAAAGAAAAATATTTTCTTTACTAAAATGTTTCATGGAAGAAGAAGAAATGGAATGAAATTAAAAGAATTTTTCATGAGAAGAAGAAAAAATTGGATAAACAAGATTCAGTCTCTATAGTTATTGCAATTTATAGGGAAAAGTTCCGAGAGTCGATCTGATAATGAGAATAATTCTGCATTTTTCATGTTGGCAAAGTTAACTCTTTAAACAGATTAAAGATGATCGTAAACATGGTTTGATTAACACTGTTAATACAATGTTGTAAATGATGATGATCCTGATGAGGCTGATGAGCATGATGAGCATGATGAACATGGTAATGATGAGAATGTTTAAAAATACAAATTACTTATTAACGATGTTTGATTGAAGAGAGAATACAATTTTACTTTTCGAATGACAATGTTAACAATTAACAATGATTCTCATTATAAAGACTTTCAAAGATGGAAACAAGCAAAGTGTAAAAAGTGTGCAATTCACATCTCGATCTTCATCCTGATCTTCATCCTGATCATCCTCATCACTTTCATCATTTCTTTATTTCCATCTTTTTCTTGGCGAAGTAAAGAGAAACAGAAAAACAAATTTTATCGCAACATTAAATGATAATTGAAATGAGTTGCAACAGAAGATGATGAAGATGATGATAATTATATGATGATTAAGTTGATAATAATGACGATAAACTTTGCCATTTCATTTTTGGCCTCAACAATGGAAAGCCTTTCATCATTGTTTCCCTTTAAACTAATTTCACTGATTACTCAATAAAAGTAAAATATGAAAATCAATCAAAAAAGTTAATTATCATTGTCAACTGTGGCTTCAATTTCTGGTGACAATTAACGATAAATGAGAGTTTCAATGAATCTTTTTTTCTTCTTCTTTTCTGTCTTCCAATCAGGTTAACTTTGAATGAGTGCTTTTTGTGTTCGAGTTGTCCTCGTGTGCTCCTATTATGATGGCAATAAAAAGATGATGATTGTCAGCAAATATGATCATCAGAACCATGTTTGATGCTCTATTGTTTAATCAAGAATGCAGTTAACATTCACTGGATACGGTTTAACAGTTTAACAGGGAACAAAACTTGTTCATTTGTTCAGTCAACAGCAAACATCAACAATGAAACCTGTTGTCCTATACACTTTGGCCTTTCTCAACTTTTCCGTCATTTCTTTTTCTTCTTCTTTATCCTCATCTTTGTTACCTTTTTTTCTCGGTCTACTTAGGTGATCTTATATTGCCACCCAAGCCATAGACCACAACATTGATTTGCCACTTTTTTTTCATCGCCTTTTCACCTTTTCAAATGTCAACTACAATTACAAGTTTAATTGATATTTGATGATCATCTGAAAGAGGCGGTTAAATTTCCCATCAAAATGATTCATTTCATCAGTTTTTTGGGACTTGAGTTGAGATTGACTTTGCTTGGGATCAAACCAAAAGTCAACCTTTTCTAGGTTCATTTTGCAGTAAAGCGGTTTGAGTTTAGACTTGATTTGCAACGATTTTCAAGATTGCGATTTCAATAGCGATTTTGATGGCAAACTGAGAGTTTTTGGCAAACAGTTTGGAGAGTGAAAACTATTAAGATAAGATAAATAATAAGATGGGTTCAGATTAACTTTTTTAGATCAGAGTTGGAAATTGTTTTTTCACCATTTTTTGATCGACCTTATAAATTATGAAAATCGGAAAGTTAAAGGAAGATGAAAGATGAAGTAGAAAAGATTTGAACTGCTAGATGATTAAATTGGGACTGAGCATTTAACAGAGTATAAATGCTTATGAAATGTGCACGAATCAATGTTCAATCCATGATTCAATCAGTTCTGAAGAGTTTGATTAAAATTTTGATGAAATTATGTCAACTTTGCTATTTTTAACCAAACCATATTTTTGGTTCATTTTAAGCACTTTGATTAATCTCATGTCTTAAGAGTCTA